GAGTAGGGGCTGCCCCTCTTAGGTTCCCTCTCATTTTCCTTGTTGTGTGTTGGGTGGGATTTAGACAAGTGGGGATCAGAATGCTGACAGCCAGAAGCACTCAATGGGATATTTAGATCTTGCATATTTATATTCTTTCTGGGCCCCGGCCCCTCACCATGTGCAGGTGGGATGGAAGGAATCATTGAAAAGCTGCTGGGAAGTCTTAAGCCCTCCTTACTTAGAAAAGGTTGAGAGGGGCTGGTCTGCACCCCATCCCCACTCTCTTCTCTTCGGCTGCTGCTTCTCTAACCTGTACCTCTGGTTCTCCCCAGTATAACAGCTCAACTGGGATCAGCTATGAGACCTTGGGACCGGAGGAGCTGCGTAGCCTGCTCACCACGGTGAGGAACCAGGGAAGGGGAGGCCATTGAGAGTGGGCTGAGGCCACGGGCAGTGGTCAAGGCCCTGGAGAAAACTGGCGACATAGCAATCAGGGCCTTATAGTTCTTTCTCTGGAATTGGGTTTCCTGGCCAATGGTGGTCTGGGACCGTCTGCTCTGGACACCTTGGGGCCATTTCTGCATGTGCTATCTAGCATTTATACAGAAGAAAACATCTAGTATCTAGAGTAGGTTCTCCTCCATCCCTCCTTTCAGCTTATATTCCTCTTCCAGCAATGTGGGGTGATTTCTGAACACACCAAGAAGATGTGCACAAGGTGAGCTCAGAACCTAGAAAGGGGGCCAGGGGCCCTCCTGCACTCACCCTGGGCATGGGTTGGGAGTACCCCTGGACTTGAGCAAAGGGACTCCCCCCTTCTCCTCCCCTCCTCTAATGAGCAGGCCTTAGGCCACAGTCTGGGGGCTCTCTGTTCATCCCTCCCCTATTGTCCATCCCTCCCACCTCTGCTGAGGGGAGGGGCCTCACTTAGACCCTTCCTGCCTTGTCAGGGTCTGATCATTCTCTCCCCACCAGGTCCCTGCGCTGCCCCCAGCACACCGATGAGCAGCGGCGAGCCGTGCGGATTTATTTCCTTGGACCCTCCGCGTAAGTGACCCTCCGAGAGGGGTTGTGGGTTTTGAAAGGTTAGGATAATAATTGGTATCTGTAAAGCTCTTCTCTGGCCCATCCCCTTTCCAGTGTCCTTCCAGAGGTCGAGAGTTCTCTGGATAATGACAGCTTTGACATGACTGACAGCCAGGCCCTGATCAGCCGGCTTCAGTGGGATGGCTCCTCGGATCTCTCGCCCTCTGATTCAGGCTCCTCCAAGACGAGTGAGAATCAGGGATGGGGTCTAGGTAGGTGATCCCGCTGGGTCCAAAGCAAAGGAGTGGGGGCATCTTGTGTTCTGCCACAGCCTTGCCCTCATTCCTTGTGCCTCTTTCCCTTCAGGTACCAACAGCTCTGAGTCACGGAAAACCAAGAAAAAGAAATCCCATCTGAGCCTGGTAGGGACTGCCTCCGGCCTGGGCTCTAACAAGAAGAAAAAGCCAAAGCCACCGGCACCCCCAACGCCCAGCATCTACGATGACATCAACTGACTTGGGTGCAAGGGATAGCCTTTGGCTAAGCAGAGCCCTCTCTCCCGACCCCCACCCAGGTGGCATAGCCTGGCACATGGACGGCTGTTGGGGGTCTGGGCTTGGGAAGCTTGGTGGGCCAGGCAGGCAGAGGATCCAGTTATGCGCCCCTGGGGGGTGTCGGGATCCTCTGCGAGGAGTACGGCCCCTCGGCATGCAGGACTCGGACCTGGACATACTATGCCTTGGACATAAGTTTGGTGGGGCGGCGGTTTTCATATTTATTCTGTGAGTTACTGGATGTCCAGCTAGGCCAGGGGCCTGACCTGGGCACTCTGCCAGGGCACTGCCTGCCCCCCAACCCAGGAACTGGACTAAGCCCTGCCGAGGAGCATTGTGGCTACCTGGGAGGCTGTGGGTTAGAAGCTGAGCCTGGAGGGGGCCTCCCCCAGCTGCCCTCAGCAATGTGAATGGGTCCGGTGCTTGGAGCTGAGGGGCAGGGCTGGGCATGTCCTGTCTGTGTGCAGAATCCTACCAAATGCCCCCAATCCCAGGGGTAGGCAGGCACAGTGAGCTGTCTGCTGAGGTAGGCGTCCAGAACTGCCGCTGCCTTCCCTGCCCCTCACAGGGGCAGCCCTTTCCCCTCAGTCCCGTGGGCCTCCTCAGCAGCAGGAGCTGTCCTTTTGTTGTTGGGTGCCAGGAAAGGGCCTCCAGCCTCTACAGCTTCAAAGACTGGGCAAGGGGAGGGAGGGAGAGGGAGTTGTGTATCAAAATGACTCCCCCTACCTTTTCTCCCTGATCCAGGGCTGGTGAGGAGTGGGGCCCCAAGGTGAGAGGGAACGGTGCTGCTTTATTTGAAATGTTTTCTTACCTCATTCCCTGCCCCAGGAAGGGGCTCAGCCTCACCCTCCTGGGGTGGCCCCATGTTCCTCCTGCCTCCCCTGCCCCATTGGCCTTCCAGGGCAGCCCATGTTCCCAACTGCTGCTTGCTACCCCCTCTCTTTCACCTTGACCAGCTTCAGTTCCTCTCTCCATGCTCCTGCCTCCAAAGCCTGCCCTGTCTCCCCTTCCTTAGCCGCTTTTAAGTTATTTATTCTGTACTTGTGGTTTGGGGCTCTGAGGAAAATCCTGATCTTTACCTCTTCCCCTTTGCTAGGAGTGGGGTGGGAAGAGGGTAATCTCTGTGCTCTGGGTTATCAGTAGAGGGGAAGGGATATCATGTCTAGGCATTGCCCTTCTGTGGACTGTCATGCCAGTGTGCCCACCTGCCTGGTCTACATCCTAAAGAGATGTGCAATCCCACCTCCATGCAGGCACCTTCACTCCCGGGAGCCGAGTTGGAGGAATGAGACTGGGCTGGGAGCAGAGCTGACTGACACGGGTGGAGTTGACCCTAAGCCAAGTTCTCTGGCATTTGCTGGATGTGTCCCCTGCCCTCCTCCCAGGAGGAGTTATCCCACATTGGGTAGCTTGTACCCAGGACTTGTTGGACTGATTTGGGTTAGGGATCCTAGAGGGTTAAGGGAGCAACATAGATGGGGTTGCAGTACCCTGTCTGGAACCCCAGCCTCCCCCTGGGATGGTTCTACTTGTGGCTGATGCCTGGTTGCAAATTTGTTTTTAACCCAAGAATTGTGATTATTTTTCAAGAAGCCAAACAAATTTTGTCAGGAGTTAGAATAAATTCTGGGGCCTGGGCTCCTCTGTTCTTGACACCCTACCCCCACCCCCCATTTCCCACCCCCAGTCTTCTTCCTCGAAGGGGAAGCCAGAGGTAAAGGAGGATTTCAGCCAGCCTCCAGCTTGCTTCCAAATGACGTCCTGGAAGTAGGTTGAAGGTGAAGGGAGGAAGGCCAGGGGCCATTCTCCCTTCTAAGAGGCAGCTGCAGTTCAGGCCCTAATATACCCTTTCCCCTCTGGCCTCTCCCATTCTCCCCTTCTGGAGGAGAGAGAAGTGGGAAGTAGTTTGGGAACGGGTTTGTCCACATCCACTTCCCTTTTGTTCCTCAGGCCACCCTCAGGGCAGAGCCCCCTGCCCAAGCTGGGTAAGAGATGGGCTTGGTCCAACGGGGACCCCAAGAGAACAAATCCCTATCCCTTTCCTTCCCAGGAGAGTATGCCCCCCTACCATGTAGTTGAACAGGGGCTAAGAGCTCCCCAGTCCCCTCCCTCTAACAGCAGGCTGTGTGGGTTTCAATTCCCATCCTTCCCACCCTGGCTAGGTGTCGTCCACCCTGTATCCTATCATGTGTCTGAGTGTGTGGGGGGGGTTCTGTACTAATTTCCATGGCCGGTGGCTTTTCCTTCCATGCATCACTCCCCCCCGCATGCCCAGGGGCCACCCGCCTGGCATTACCGCATGCTGGGGTCATTGGGGGAGGGGGGAGGGGCTCACGCTGTCCTGTGGTCTTGAGATTTTTATTTTTGCATATGTAATCCATCTTGTACAGGTAGCTAACTTTGTAAACGCTGTGTATTTCCCCTGCCCCTCATGGCTGCTGGTGTAAATAAACTGCATCTCCTGTTGGTAGCTGGGCCTACCCACCCTCATTACCATGTTGCTGGAGGCAGAGCAAAGCCATTCTCTTAATGTCACAGAAGGAAGCTCCATAGCCACAAAATGGAACTTTATTCAGTCACAGACACTGGCCCTCCATCCAACAGCCCCAGAGACAAGGGCCTGGGGCACAGTGCTCCATACCCAGAGCTCCTTGGAGCTGGGCAGTGCTGGTCACTGGCTGAGAGCCAGAGCCGTTTCTTGCTTACAGCCTTAGGCCTAGGGTAGCAGCAGCTGTGGCCTGGCCTCTCCCAATGCTGGGGGCTTGGCTTTGTGCCCCAATCCCCTTCCTGACAGAGCTCTATAAAGGACTATTAAAAAAAAAAAAAAAAGAATGCAAGCAAAGTGCTTTGAAAAAAAGAACACTGGAAACTGTCCAGAACATGGAGAACACTCTATTCCTGCTACAGAGGTAGAGGGAGAAGGGAGAGGGCAGCTAGGTGCCTATAGGACAAGCTGACAACCTTCATTCCTGCCTGTGTGATTTCAGTCAAAAGATGGCTATTCCACTAAGGAATTGAAAGATACTCCAGGCTCCCTACAGGATTATGCTGGGGCCATGCTACGCTGCCCTGGCAGGCCGCCTGAATGCTGAGGAGCAAACATGCAGGACAATGGGAAGAGCTAGGGTCACAGGAGAAAATCCTCAGAGCCCAGGCTCCCCACTGAGCTGGGCCACCAGGGTGGCTCTGAACTTCAGGAACCTAAAAAGAAGGAAGATGACATCCTCGTTTCTACCTGAGTTGTGCTTGCACAGAGGGGATGTCTGTACCCTCGTGGACATGAAAGGGAGGCCCTATACCGGCCTCCTTTGTCCTATGGAAGAGAACCCACCATATCCTTTCCATCCCTCCCTCCCAGGCCATTGGGCCCAGCTCTGACCAGGAAAGGGGGAGGCTATAAGGAGGAAGACCATGCCTTTCATTTTTCTCCCTATGTCCTTATCGTCCATACATCCCAAATACTAGGAAGCTGAAGAAGACAGTGACCCCAACCAGGGAGACAGTGGCAGGTGCTGTGAAGAACTGGCGGTAATTGATACGGAAGTACCAGACCACACCCAACAGCACCACAAACACGGGCACCATGAGGCTGCCCACACTGATGCTGAGGCTGGGGGGCTCAGTGACTGAGGAGGCCAGGGAGGCGGAGGGGCCTGGAACAGCTGACCCTGGAGGCGAGCGGTGGCAGTGAATCACACAGTTGTTGGTAATGTTCAGGGAACGCAGTGTGCGGCCTGGGTCCTGCAGGAGGCGGCCCTGGTAGATCAGTTTCATCTGGCTCTCTTGTCCAGGGAAGTATTTACTGTTGAGGTGAAAGAGAAGGAAAGAAGCAAGAATGAGAAGACAAACAGGACTGAACCAACAAAGCAGGGCAAATGGGGGGGGGGGGAATTGGGGACAGGGCTTATTAAGTCTCCCACTTTCAGCTCACTCACCTCTTCAGTGTGCCCACAGTATCTTCCGGCCTGGCCACAGCCAGCTCCTCCGTGTCATTGAGGAATTTGAGCCGCACATGGATGAGGCCAGGGCTGGGAGGCAGGCAGGTGCTCTCCTCAGGTCTCAGAGGGGCTTCTGGGCCGCTGCTCTCTGGGTCCACTTGTCTTTTGGGCAGGCCTCGGATGTCAAGGAGATGCTCTAGGCTGGGCTCAATGCCACCTCCAGCTCCAGAATCCCCTGCAGAGTCTCTGCCACCTTCTCCAGCCTCTTCAGCCTTCTCATCATTACCATCTGATGGATGGGGGAGTTCATTTGGCTCTGGGGTGCCTTGGGCCGCCACCAGATGGTCCACGTGTCCCAGGTGGAGGACGGATGTGTCGCCAGCTGACACAATAGTGCTTAAGAGCTGGTTGCTACTGCTGTCTGCTACGTAGGTAGAAAGCCAAGCTAGGACCAAGGCTAGAATCAGCACCACCACACCTGCCACCACAGTCACCTCATTACCCACACCTTCAATAAGGGTGACATCAGAGAGTCCCATGGCCTGGCTGCTGACAGGGTCCACACTGCAGGAACAAAGAGGGATAACATCAGCAGGGCCTATGGGGTTGCAGCCAGGTTTCTTTTTTATTTTTTTAAATCCTCATCCAAGGATATTTTCCCACTGATTTTTAAAAATATTTTGTTGATTTTCCAGAGAGGAAGAAAGAGGGAGAGCTAGAAACATCAATGAGAGAAACATCGACTAGCTGCCTCCTGCACACCCCCCACCGGGGATGTGCCCGCAACCAAGGTACATGCCCTTGACCGGAATTGAACCTGGGACCTTTCAGTCCGCAGGCCTTCGCTCTATCCACTGAGCCAAACTGGTATCGGCTCCACTAATTTTTAGAGCGAGTTGATGAGAGGGAAAGAAACATCGATTCGAGAGAAGCATTAATTGGTTACCTCCTGCATGTGCCCGAATCAGGCCCCAGGCCAGGGAGGAGCCTACAACCAACTTATGAGCCCTTGACTGGAATCGAACTCAGGACCCTTTGGTCCGCAGGCTGACACTCTATCCACTGAGCCAAATTGGCTAGTGGGTAATCTGGTTTCTAGTTTAGCTTCTAACTAACCCAGCCCTGAAAGAAAATGGAGTTCATTGTCCTGCAGAAGGGGAAAACCTTCCTAACTCTGAACTCCCAACCTAAAGCTAAGGACTTACCCTTTATCTCTATTGTGAAACTCGAATTCCATACCCTTCCTCTCTCACAATCCAACCACCCAATGAACATGGATCATAAGGAAAAGCTTACAGCTGTGTTGCTGTTGCAATTGCTTGTTGCTTTTTGGGCAGCTGGAAAAAACACTTGCTTCTTTGAGCCCTGAGTTTCTCTAGGACGTCTATCATTTAGTCAAGCAACTGCCTCTTTGAAGAGCCTCCAAGGTGACCCCAGAGAGATCAAATAGCCTGTATTTTATTTTGGAGCCCCTTTGGAGGCATACTGCAACCACTCTTGCCAGATTTTCTCATTTAAAACCCCATCTCAAAACAAAAGGAAGGAAAAGAACCTATCTCATGGTCTAGACGTGAAGAGCCAAAGAAAATCAAGTTATCATCAAAAGCAGATTCAGCCCAACCAATATGGCTCAGTGGCTGAGTGTCAACCCAGGAATCAGGTGGTCAGGGTCAGGACACATGTCCAAGTTTTGGGCTCGATACCCAGTAAGAGTATGTAGGAGGCAGCAGATCAATGATTCTCTCATCACTGATGTTTCTCTCTCTCTCTCTCCCTTCCTCCATAGATCTCCCCAAGGGACAAGAAAGTCAGAAAACCCCGCAGGCCCTATAAAGGTTATGAGCAAACACTATCCAGCAGGCATTGTGTCTGCGTCTATGAAGCTTTTCTGGCAAGCTCTGTGGAGCAAAGTAGGACAGACATCAGACATACCACCCTATTGGATCACTACAGGCTTACAACTTAAAAAAACCACTACCAGAGTAGAACAGATTTGGAAAACTCCCCAAATAGCTGTCACAATCCATACCTCCATCTCTCTTCATATTGTCTGGTTCTCCCTCAGCAGTTTCTTGGAAAGGCAAGGATCACGGCTTGCTCTTTGGAGTACCTACTCTTTCCCTTGGAGAATCTGCTGCTTTCACCGTTGTCCCTGGGCAAATCCAGCCTAATGACTCTCATTACCAGACTATTCTCACAGCAACTATAAAACTCATATGCATCTATCTGTCCACCTCTCTCGGCTAGACTCCTGAATGACAAGGATCACATGTATTTATCTATGTGCTGTAGTGCCCAGCATGTCATAGGAGTTGCTCAAAAAATATGTGTGGAATGTATCAACATCTGCCCAGTTACCACGTTCTTATTTATATATGAGCTCTGGAGTCTGGGAAAAAGACCACTAATTTATAATCCTTATCTTGCCCCCTACTAGCTATGTAATTTCAGACAATTTTCTCGGAACGTCAGCTTTCTCATAAGTAAAATGGGATTAAAAACAGTACCTACCTGCCCTGGCTGGGTGGCTCAGTTGGTTGGAGCGTTGTCCCTTACACCAAAAAGTTGTGGGTTCGATTCCCGGTCAGGGCACATAACTAGGTTGCAGGTTCGATCTCTGGTTGGGGCGCATAGGGGAGGCAACCCATCGATGTTCCTCTCGATGTTTCTTTCTCTTTCCCTTCCTCTCTCTCTAAAAATCAATAAAAATATATCCTCAGGTGAGGGTTATTTTAGAAAACCTGATCCCATTATTGCCCTGCTAAAAACAGTACCTACCTCATAAAGTTGTTTTAAAGATGACGGGAAAATATCAAAGCAAAATACTTAGCAGAGTGCCTGGCGCATTGCAATTGTTCAATAAATAAATGGTAGTAATTATCACACGACTAACCCCTGATGGTGAGAAGATTAATGTCATTAACACCGATTTACAGAAAAGGAAACTGTGGCGAGGAGGCTAAAAGGACAGGCACTGACACAGGAAACTTTCGTGGGCAGGGGGCCGGGCAAGACCCCAGGGCTTCTGCCTCAGAGGCCTTCTCTCTCCTCAGCCTGTGAGCGATCCTGGCGGGGCGATCCTGCCTTTCCTGGAAGCGAAGGCTCCGCGTTTGGGCGGTCCTATTCTCCCAGGAGAGGGTCCGTGGGCCGAAAGGTCTCCTGGCCCCAGCCGCCGAGCCCGAGCCCACGTCTCCCAGCCGGTGAGGGGTAAAGTCGGGTGAGTGGGTCACAAACCTTCCACACCCCTCAAACTCCGGGGCGGGGCCGGGGGGCTGGGGGCGGGGCTTGTGTACGCGGGGAGTCATGGGAAATTAAGAAGGGATCGGACCGGTACTATGCCCGGATAGGGAAAGAGGACCTCACCTGAAACGGCCAGACCAAGTATTTCGACTTCTCTAGGACGGCCGATGGACTCACCTTTCCGTAGGGGCCGGGGAAGGGACTGGCTACCCCCGATTCAGTCCAGGGTCCAGTCTCTTCCGGCTTCTCCCGGAAGCTGTTAGAACCAGAGACAGGAAGTCCCGCCTCCTCGCCTTGCACTGATGACGCAACGCTACGTAAGGCGGGCTGGCGTAAGCGCATTCTTTAAAAGGGACAGGTTTCTCAGCGGAAGGAGAGGCGGAGTCATTGTTAGCGGGATCTCGGCCCTCCCGGGGCAGGCCACGCCCAGTGGGCGGGGCCCGATGAGCCCTGAGCTGAGGGGTGGGGTCAGGAGGAAGTTGGGGGCGGTGCTTGTAGGGGGCGTGGTTCCGGGTCTGGAAGGTTGAGCTGGTTGGCATCGTTGGGCGGAACGGAGGCGCACTTCCCTCTTCCCAATCTTGCTCTTCCGGCCCAGCTCCTAGGCTCCCTGTCTGATAGGATTTATTACTGTTCCGGGTTAGTTAGCGGGATCAGTAAGGTCTGGTCTCTCCGAGCTCCAAGAATTCAGGGCTAGTCGGGAGACAAACAGGGAGACTAGTTACTATCCGGAGCTCCGAGAAAGCGGCCTCAGGTAGCGTGGGACTTGGGTAAATTATGCAAGAAAGCATTTCAAAGAAGACACAGATTCAGGGGCGGTTTAGGACATAAGAAATGCAGGAGCCAAGAAAAGGTTCAGCTTCCAAGAATTTATCCAGATTTTTTAAAATAAATTTTTTTCTAAAGACGTGCTGGGTTGTTTTCAGGTAAACTATGTTATAAATAATGCAAACAGGGCAAACTCATAAGCGAAGAGCTCAGATAATTTTCGCCAACAGAACACACCGGTGGAACTGGCATTTGGGTCAAGAAATAAATAAAAATAATTTTTAAAAATATCCCCGCCATTAAAAAAATTTCCCCCAAACCTAGTGGAATATCATATTACTGTTTTTAAATAAATAAATAAATATATTTTATTAATATTTTACAGAGAGGAAGAGAGAGGGATAGTTAGAAACATCGACGAGAGAGAATCATCAATTAGCTGCCTCTTGCACACCCCCTACTGAAGATGTGCCTGCAACCAAGGTACATGCCCTTGACCAGAATCGAACCCGGGACCTTTCAGTCTGCAGGCCAACAACGCTCTATCCACTGAGCCAAACTGGTTTTGGCCATATTACTGTTTTATTTTTAATTTTTTAAATTAAATATATTTTATTGATTTTTTTATAGAGAAGAAGGGAGAGCGGAAACTGGTCTGGCTCAGTGGATAGAGCGTCGGCCTGTGGACTGAAGGGTCCCAGGTTCGATTCCGGTCAAGGGCATGTACCTTGGTTGTGGGCACATCCCCAGTAGGGGATGTGCAAGAGGCGACTGATCAATGACTCTCATCGATGTTTCTGACTATCACTCTCTTTTCCTCTCTGTAAAAAATCAATAAAATATATATTAAAAAAAAGAAGAAGGAAGAGGGATAGAAAGTTAGAAACATCGATGATGAGAGAGAAACATCCATCAGCTGCCTTCTGCACACCCCCCACCGGGGATGTGCCCACAACCAAGGTACATGCTCTTGACTGGAATTGAACCTGGGACCCTTTATTCCGCAGGCTGACGCTCTAGCCACTGAGCCAAACCGGTTTCGGCCATATTACTGTTTTAATATACACTGTAGAGAAACCAAATCAACACTGGTAATAAAACAGATGTTATTCTTTCTCTCATAGATCAAGGGAATAAAATCTTTTAGCTGCAGTACATTTTCCAATATTTTGCCTTTTTGCTGTATGTATGACTTGGTGTTTTCATTAAGTTTTTTCTGTATCCATATATATTAATCTTTTCTTTTGTGCTTTTGCCCTACCCCCAAATAATATACATCTTCACAGGTATCTTTCGTTTTGTTTAAACATATCTTGTAGTTTTAGCTGTGAGAGGATGGACAGTTCAGCATCCTCCCCTGAGAAGGAGGCCCCCAGCGTGGGCCCAGGACTAAAGAGGATTTCATCCTCTCCTCTTGGGCCTTTGGCTCTGTGAAATTAAAGAGAAAATGTCAAGAAAGGAAAGAATGTTGCTCCACATAAGGAGGTAAACAAACCCATCTCCCCCAGAGTCCAAGATGGATCTGCTCTGTGTTAGTCAAAGGGCATCTCTGCGGTACAACTCCACATAAGAGAGGAGCCTGGGCGACAGCTGAGGAAGCCACCTCCAGGACTCCTGACATGTTTAGCACATGACTGCAAACGGGAATGGCCAGGGATCCCAGGGTCCCTCCTCAGTTCCCTCCCACAGTGGGTGCTTTAGGCTCAGGGGCTGGGATGAGGTCTTGTTGCTATCATAAGAGTGACAGCTGCTCAGTGCAGAAAATTTGGGAACCATGGAAGAGGACAAAGTGGGGGAAATAAACATGGAGTGATAGGTATCTCTGTCCCAACCACATTCACACATTGGTACTGTGCACAAATCATTTATTTGCTTTCATAAAAACTAGCGAGGCTTGAAAAGCTTCCTCTTAAAGATGAATGGTCACAAAAAAAAAAAAAAAAAAAAAAAAAAAAAAAGATGAACGGTAGTGCATTTGACTCTGGAACCAGAAGAGGAAATGAAGGGGGCAGGTGACAGCTGATGGCTGGTCCTCTTGTCACAGATCCTCAGAGATCACAAGTGTGGTGACCACTGTTTCAGACACCATGCATCATTGGGGTGTGTGTGTGTGGGGGGGAGCACAATGCAACCATAAATGGGTCCCAGGCATCATGTATCTATTCCTCCAACAACCATTTACCAAAATATCTGTTCAAGCCTAGTTGAGAAGACAGGCTCTTAAATAGATATGACACCACCAGCCAGTGTGGTTCCGTGGTTGAGCATCCACCTTCGAACCAGGAGGTCATGGTTTGATTCCCAGTCAGGGAACATGCCTGGGTCACGGGCTTGATCCCCACTGTGGGGCGTGCAGGAGGCAGTCAATCAATGATTCTCTCTTATCATTGATGTTTCTCTCACTCTCTTCCTTTCTGAAATCAATAAAATGTTTTAAATAGATATCATACCAAGGAAGGCTACCTGCTAGGCTGATCAAATTGAGCTGTCTTGAGGATATCAGCTTCAATCAGGGAAAGAAAAAAAACGTGGGGAGGGTATGTCAAGGAGGGGGAACACCTGGGAACAAAGGGTTTCAAGCCGAGAACGGTTTGGCTCAATGGATAGAGCGTCGGCTTAGGGACTGAAGGGTCCCGGGTTTGATTCCGATCAAGGGCATGTACCTTGGTTGAGGGCATATCCCCAGTAGGGGGTGTGCAAGAAGCAGCTGATCGATGACTCTCTCATCGATGTTTCTAACTCTCTATCTCTCTCCCTTCCTCTCTGTACAAAATCAATAAAATATATTTAAAAGAAAAAAAAGGGTTTCAAGAGCATGGGTTTTAAGACCAGGCAGTGAGGTTTTCCCTTCAAATGACAATGACAAGTGGGGCAGAGGCAGTACAGCTAGAGGCAGAGCCTGTCATTCTTTATAGAATTAAGACATATGGGCAGCAGAAGATGAAGGGTTACAACAATGATAATCACCTCCTGGCATCATCCACTTAGGCAAAGGTGAGATGAGTGAGGTCTGAATCTGCAGATATTTCCATCAGAGATGAGCTGAAGCTCAGGTAAGGCTGGCCAGCAGTTGTCTCAAGGAGTCAGTGGAGAGACAGGGCGTATAAACCGAGGCCCAGGGTCTGGCTGTCCAGGGTGGATGGAGTAAGGTGGATGGAGAAAGCAGGACAGCTGTGGGAGCAGCCCGGCACGGTGCTCACTGGATGCGCCCCTCCACACGCAGCAGCAGGTAGTCCCTGAGTGGCTGGGGCAGCGGGAGGCTATCGGCAGCCTGGCGGCAGCGGTTACCCAACTGGGCACGCACAGCCAGCCGGGCCAGGTGCTGCAGCCGCCGGGGCTGGTTCACCATCGCCAGGGCCGAGCTGTAGAAGGCTTCATGCTCCTAGGCCGTGAGTGGCACAGGGTCAGATGGCCCAGGACCCTTAATTCTGCCCTTCCAACTGGGGCTACCTAGTGGTAGGGCTCCAGGATGTTGCAACATGTAAAATTTGATGCATCCTGACAGACTCAGGTTCAGAGCCAGAGAGACCCAGCAGGGGTCATGGGAGTTGGGACCACACTGAAGAGCCCAGTCTCCACCATCTCTGCACCCATCCCCACTCCTGATGCCGGCACAGTGCACACGGAGTCAGAGATGCCTAAGAAATGCCAGGCTGGTGTGGCTCAGTGGATAGAGCGTCAGCCTGCGGGCTGAAGGATATCACGTTTGATTCCGGTCAAGGGCACATGCAAGCTTGATCCCCAGTGTGAGGTCTGTGGGAGGCAGCCGATGAATAATTTTCTCTCATCATTGATGTTTCTCTCTCTTTCTCTCTCTCTCTCTCTCTCTCTCTCTCTCTCCCCCTTCTTCTCTGAAATCAATAAAAATATTTTCTAGTAAAAGAAAAAGAAATGTCTGTGCAAATGCAGGTCAGAGAGCCGGGAGAGGGTGTGGAATTAGAGGTTGTTCTGAGCTGCCTGGGGGTAGAGGGAACCTAGAATTCGGGGTTTCCCTCTGCCTGTCCTCCTCCAGCCCAATCTGGAGGGATACGCCGGGGGCCCAACCTTCCTTTCCATCTCGCCCAGAGCCCGGGCTGGACCTGTGCCCCTGGGTGGACATACCTGCCACAGCTCCGGGAGGACTGCCTCCACCCAGGAGGCGCAGGATGGAACACAGGGGTAAGCATTAAGTAGGACTTCCAGTGCCCGAGGGAGGTTGGCACAGAGTTTCAGCATCTAGGAATCCAAAGAGGGTCTAGGGGCACCGTGCCTCTCCCCAACCAGGGGCAGGTCCAAACCCAGAGACCGCGGTCTGAGCCTCTCCTACTTGCCCGTGCTCAGTTCACCACGACCTCCTGGCCCCAGCTAGCTTCCTTGGGACCCCTTTTCTCCTTTGCATCTCTCCCCCCATAGCCCCCAGCGGTCTTTCCCAAGATGGGGACAGACCTCTGGACACAAAAGGTGGGCTTACAGGGCCAGGCTTTTGGCCCCGGCTCTCCCCCGCGGGGGGGGGAGGGCAATCCCACAGGCACAATGCCCCCCCCACCTGGGCCCCCCTTCCACAGGCTCCCCCTACGCACCTCAGGGTGCACTGGCTGGGCCCCATAGTCCAGCAGCGCACGGAAGAGGACCTCGGGCTCCCCGCCGGGGGCGTCCTGGACGGCCTGCAGCGCGCAGTCCATGGGCGTGTGGCCCGCCGCGTTGGAGACCCCGGCGCAGGCCCCGTGGCGCAGCAGCAGCTCGGCCAGGGCGCCGCGGCCGTTGGCACAGGCGTTGTGCAGGGGCGTGTGGCGCTTGCGGCCGGCCGCCCGGGCATCGGCCCCGGCCTCCAGCAGCTGGCGCGCCACCGCCTGGTGCTCCCGGCCCTCGCTGGGGCCCTCGGCGCCGGCGCAGGCTGCGTTGAGCGCCGTCTCGCCCTGGCTGGTGCGCAGCCCCACGCGGGCCCCGTGCGCCAGGTACAGGGCCACGTGCCCCCGCAGGCCGCGCGCCGCCGCCACGTGCAGGGCTGTCACCTCGCTGGCCCCCGCCGCCGCGTCCACAGCGGCTCCCGCCTCCAGCAGCAGCTTGGCGCACCTGGGGGCCGGGCGCAAGGGACCCAGGCAAGTCTTGAGGGACCAAGGCCTGGCCGGAGAGCACCCCTGTCTTCCCTCATCCCCTTTCTCCCACCCGAGGGCAAGGCTGGTGTCCGCCATCAGGCTCACAGGAGGTCCCCTGGGGAAGGCCCACGGAAGTCACCAGGAGCATCTTCACTTTCCATGTGAAAAACCAGCCCCGTTAGTTAGAGCCCTAACCGGTTTGGCTCAGTGGATAGAGCGTTGGCCTGCAGACTGAAAGGTCCCAGGTTTGATTCCGGTCATGGGCATGTACCTTGGTTTGGGGCACATCCCCAGTAGGGGGTGTGCAGGAGGCAGCTGATCTTGGACAAGTCTCATCTGTAGAATGAGACCTGTCTCCAGGCTGTGAGCTTCACATACACACACCCACCCCCTCCCAAATCACGACAAGCCCTGAGCACCTACTGTAAGGACTCCGGCGCTGTGCAGAGGTGCAGGGGGGTTGTGCCTTCCTCAGACAGCACGTTGGCTTTGGCGCCGAAGGCCAGCAGCAGCCGCACGCAGTCGGAGTGGGCCTGGGCACATGCCTCATGCAGGGCAGCCCGGCCCCCAACCCGGGCATCCAGCTCAGCTCCCTGGTGGATGAGGTGGCGGGCACAGGCGGTGTAGCCTCGGGCCGCAGCAATGGTGAGGGGCACTGTCTGCTTGGTCTTGGGGGTCAGTATCCAGAGCCCTGTGGAGAGCAGACAGCATTGGGGGGGTGGGGGGTGAGACGCGGAAGCAGGGCAGGCTGTGGTGAACAGCTGATGCTGGTTTTCCTTCTGTGCCCCTGGCTGCACACGCACTCCGTGCCCGGTTGTACCTGTGGAGAGGAGCTCACTCAAGCCCTGGTTTGGGAGTAAATCAGAACAGCCTTTTAGAACAGTTTGTCAGTCTGTAACAACGCAGAGTATGTGTGTCGGAGAAAAAAATTAATTGCTCTTTAAAACCATAAGGGCAACTGCCCTAGCCGGTTTGGCTCAGTGGATAGAGCGTCAGGCTTCGAACTGAAAGGTCCCAGGTTCGATTCTGGTCAAGGGCACATGCCCGGGTTACGGGTTCGATCCCCAGTGTGGGGCTTGAGGGAGGCAGCCGATCAATGATTCTCTTCCATCATGGATGTTTCTATCTCTCTCTCCCTCTCTCTTCCTCTCTGAAATCAATAAAACATATTTTTTTAAACAGGAACCGGTTCTCTCCAACCTATTTGGGGGCTAGTTATATAAATCATGGCATACCCATACAGAACTTACGCCCCTATATAAAATATGATGTTGACTTATGGTTATTGACATGTTTTAACATGAAAAAAAAAATCAGGTTAAAAAATAGCATGAGGATTATAATTTCATTCTGTGGAGGAAAAAATATCCATGCGTGAATATATATTCATAAAAAATTGCATAAGAATATACTTGTATTCTTATGTCACTAATGTGTTAATATAACGTTAATTCTGGTGGGGGGGAAATACAAACCACTAACCATGCCTCATTGCTGTTTAGCAGGGAACTGGGACAGGCAGTGGGAAAGGATAGCATACCGTAGTTTATGGACTGCAGGGAGGGTTTGGGGCTCTCCCCCTCTCCCCAGCCCCCCTTCCTTCTCCCCTCTTCCTCCCCTCCTGCCCACACATGCTGCTCCCTACCCTGTTCCTGCGACCAGGCCAGCTGGTTGCTCACTGTCTCCACGATCATGTTGGCGGCATCCTCGTCTTGGAACAGGGCTTGGACCTGCTGCAGGTCGCCGGAGAACAGGGCGCTGTGGACCGCTGGGTCTCGGCAGGAGCGGCGGGGCCTCGCCAGTCGGGCCGGAGAACCTGGGGGGCACCTTTGGCTCCGGCAGAGCTGGGCTGCTGCCCTGCGCCTGTCCTCCCACTCCAGCCACTCCCGCTGCAGGCGGAGAGCGCGCAGCCTGGCGGAGGGGGAGGGGAGGGTCTCTTCTGCCATGGGAAGGGGTCTGGTTGGCGGCAGGTGGGCAGAGCCAGCGACTACCACCCTTGTTGTGAGGAGCCACCCTGCCCCCTCCCCGTGGCCCAGAGAGAGCAGCAGCTGAGACTATAAATAGGCCCTGAGATCTCCGGTAAACATGGTTCACCCAGAGTCCTGATCCCGGTGCAGAGGTGTTGGGCCAGCCCCTGCCCCTGGCCCTGCTGATACCCATCCCTGTACCCAGGGTCCACATCCTCCCATCTCTTAGGAGTGAGCACTTTGGTTTGGCAAGGTCTGAGGTGAGAGCCAAGACAGCTGTGAGCCTCTCCCCACCCTTCTATCAGGGACACCATGGGCTACAGAAACTACCTTCAGTGAGTCCCCTCACCCCACCCCAGCTCCTAAAAGTAAGGTAATCAGACATCCCGTTTTTTGGCGAAGCAGTCCCGATCGGGACATCTGGTCACCTTACCTAAAAGGGCTCACATGGTCAAAAACAGTTTGGCTCAGTGGGAAGAGCGTCGGCCTGCAGACTCAAGGGTTCCAGGTTCGATTCCAGTCAAGGGCATATACCTTGGTTGCGAGCACATCCCCAGTAGGAGGCATGCAAGAGGCAGCTGATCAATGACTCTCTCTCATCGATGTTTCTAACTCTCTATCCCTCTTCTTTCCTCTCTGTAAAAAATCAATAAAATATATATATTTTTAAAAAATAAATAAAAGGGCTCACATGCCTGCCTGAGGGCCAAGGGCTTGACCTTTCAACTCTGGGCATTCAGACCGATGAAACCTGTTTAAAGCCAGGAACCTATTCCCTCTCAGGAGAAAGCGGCTGTGCTCCCAGGAGCCTCTAGGGGGAGGAATGAGGCCATGAAATGACATTAGCCGGTGTGATGGCAAAGCCAGGCGAGGGGAGGCAGAGGGGTGCCGGTCCCTGCATCAGCAGCTCTCCTCTGTCTTCCTCAGTGCTGTAGGCTCCTGGCTCCCAGGCCCCTGCCCTGCCTCCCCTCCCTGGTTCTGCAGCAGCCGTCGCTCAGTTATCTCTGACTTCTTCCCCTCGCCCAGAGAGGTCCCAGCTCCCGGCCTCCCATTTTCAGTCCCCATCTCAATGTCTTTAACCGGGGCCAGCCCAGCCCCCTGCCGGGTGCTTCCTCCTCTGTCCACCACCCCTCAGCTTCACCGCCTCCATGGAAGGACCTAACTAAAATGGTTAATTCCTCTCTTGAAGATTTCTGCCGACTTCGAACACCGCCCCTCTCCAACTAAGACCCTGATCCTCGGTTTGGCCTCACATCATGTCGCATTCTCATCCTGGCTCCTCACCCTTCCCTGCCATTCCCGCTTCTTGGAATTCTCTTCTGACGCTTCCCTTCAAGTCCACCTCAAAGTCCACCTGCTCTGGGGGACACCGCTGCAGCAGCGCCGGGTCCCCCACTCCTCCGGTTCCGGCCGCTCCCAGTCCATGCACTTTGTGAGCCTGGGTCTCTGTGGAGGGGCGTCTGCCGTGCTGGGCGTGGGCTCCAGAGGAGGCTCTGAATGTATTCAGTTAGGCCTCTGGTCCCAGCAGGGCCTGGCACACAGTAGGTCTTGACATGGTGTTTAGGGGCACTTGGCACAGAGCAGGCTGGCCTCTTGTGTGTAGAGCATTCACGGAGGGCCCTGTTCTCTGCCAGAGCAAACACTCATCAGCCTGCCCACGTGGGCGGCGGCAGCTGGGGCTGTTTCCGGAGCTGCCTCTCTCCTGCTGTTCACCCACTCTGGCCTCAGCCTCTTGGTGGTATTCCAGGGTGAGGGATCCCAGAGGAGGAATGAGATCATGCACAGGAGGGCTTAGCGATCCTCAGAGAAAGGCGCCTCTATAAACACAGCGGTGATTAACCCTGTTGGAACCCATTCAGTGTTTTAATTGCCCCACCAACGGCCGGACTGAGCACCCACAGCTGGGTTCCCAGGGTTGGGAGTTGGCAAGGCCAGGTGGGCCAAGAGGGGCCAAGGTGTGGTAGGCATCCCCTCCCTCGTGAGGTGCACAACAGTCATGGCGTGGGGGCCCATGATCGTGCTGGCCTTCCCAGCCTCCCTGTGACCTTCTCATCACACAGGCCTGGAGGTGCCCTGGCTACAGCTCAGTCCCCAGGGACACCAGGCGTTCTGTCCCCTGTCCCTTGCCTTAACTTCCCAAGACCTATTCTTCAACCCACACAGGAGCTCACAGGAAGCCCAGTTCCACTGGCAAGGAGCCATGCCAGGTGACTGGACACCCAGCCTGCCTTCTGGGAGCTCAGAACCTGTGGGGAAAAGAAGCACACCAAGAGAAACCAGGACCTCAGCCAGGACTGCGAGCGGCAGGGGGCTGAATGGGGAAGGGCACTGCAGCCAGGGGCAGGGGTAGTTTAGGTGCCTGAAGACCACAGATCTCAGCTACAAAGGCAGAGCTGGGGAGTTAGCAGTGAGCAGAAGAGCAAGAAGGGCAGGTAGGAGGGCCAAATGGGAGTGCGAAGGGGCAAGGGTGCTGGAGGATTAGTCCTTTTTTGCTCCTGAGCTTAGAACACAAAAGCCTTCCAGGGCCTGATTGCAGCCAGCAGCTAACTGGGTATGGGGTTCTTAAAGCACTCGTTCACTTTAGTCCTGAGGTGGGACCCCTGGGATCAGCCTCTCTTTGGGAAAAGGGAGGTTCACACCTTCCCCAGAATAGCACCCGCCCAGGAGAGGTCCCTGACTCACAGCTGCCTAGTGAAGACAGGTGGAAACCGGGAGGCTGGTGGTCAAACTGAGGTGTTTGTTTTTTTTATTATATATTTTTATTGATTTCAGAGAGGGCGATAGAAACATCAATGGTAAGACAGAATCATTGATTGGCTGCCTCCTGCACACCCCCTACTGGGGATCGAGCCCACAACCTGGGCATGAGCCCTGACCAAAATCGAACTATGACTACCTGGTTCAAAGGTTGATGGTCAACCACTGAACCACACTGGCTGGGCCAAATTGGGATCTTTAATCCACACCCCCTCACCCATGAATTGAGAGAAAAATCCTTTCTTCCCTTTATTCCAGGAAAGGAAAACAAAGTTGGCAACTTGGTACCATTAGGCCTTTTACACCGCACCCATGTCCCTGTGTGGCTCTGGTCTAAAAGGTGACATAGAGAAGCTACAGTGACCAAGAGTTGCTTGACAAAATAAATAAAGTAGTATTAGGTTATAACCCAAAGCTTAGAATAAATACCCATGAGCCCATACTGATATAAATGAATGAATAAAAAATGAGGGATAGGTCATTTCAAAGAGAGCTTATGGGACCAAAGCAGAGCTCCTAACGCTATGACCTAAGATTGAAGTTCTCCACAAGATGTACCAGATCCTCAACAGTGCTATGTTTTCCTGAGGAGACATAAAATTTAGCGACTTATATCAATGAGTACTGATGTGGGAAAGTAAATAAATGTTTTCCAAGTTTAAAAGAAGGGAGAATAATCTATGTGAATATTCTTCCCTTCCAGAGGTAAAGTATAACTCCTCACGCCTTGTGTGGACTGCACAAGAAGGACAGTACAGAGAGGGAGAAGGAAGAAGGTAACTTTACAGTGGACAAACCTGACAAACCCTACCTCAGCCAGGTGATCAAGGCCAACATCAACCCTTGTCATGATGTGAATAGCACATTACTTCTGTGGTCTTTCTCCAAAAACATATAACCCCAGTCTAGTCATGAAAAAAAAATCAGGCAAATGCCTGTAGAGGGACACCCTATAACATGTCCGAGCCGCTCTCCTGAAAGCTGTCAAGGCCATAAAACAAGGAAAGTCTAAGACACAGCCACAGCCAAGAAGAGCCTAAAGCAGGTATTGGGGACCTTTCATCTGCCAAGGGTCATTTGGATATTTGTAACATCATTCCTGAGCCATACAAAATTATCAACTTAAAAATTAGCCTATGGCCCTCGCTGGTTTGGCTCAGTGGACAGTGTCAGCCTGCAGACCAAAGGGTCCCAGGTTCGATTCCAGTCAAGGGCACATGCCCAGGATTGTGGGCTCCATCCCTAGTACGGGGCATGCAGGAGGCAGCCAATGATTCACTCTAATCATTGATGTTTCTATCTCTCTCTCCTTCTCCTTTCCTCTCTGAAATAAATAAAAACATATTTTTAAAAAATTAGCCTATGTTTGGTCAAACATTTAATTAACTCACCCCTAATGCCTTGGCAGGGCCAGACCCAATGATTTCGAGGGCCTCAGGGCCAGAAGTTCCCCAACTCAGACCTAAAGAGACATGATGACTAAATGTAATGTGGGATTCTGTCCAGAGTCAGGACATCAGGAGAAAGTTAGTAAATCTGAATACAGTATGGAGTTCAGTTAATAATAATATGTCAGTACTGGTTCTTTGTGACAAAGCTACCATACTGTCTGATGATAATACGGGAAACTGGGTGTGGGGTATTATGGGAACTCCCTGTAATATCTTTTCAATGATTTTATAAATCTACAACCGTCTAAAAGAAAAAATTTATTTAAAGAAAAAAGAGAAAACGAGTAGCCTAGCTCTGCTTGATCAAAGCACCACTGGCAGAGCGAACAGGGCAAGGAGCAGTGAGGATGGCAGAGAGAGAGGCCGGTGAAGCAGGCAGCTGCTTTATTTCAGAACAAGATACCATAGCCACACCCCTTCCCCCCGCACCTGTGAACCTTGGACACAGGTAAGCTGGGCAGCTCTAGGCCTCCAGAGGCAAAGCAGAGGGAAGTCTGAGTGTGTTCCTTCCCTGTCCACCGGGACAGATGGCCACTGCTGCGGTGTGGCTCCTCTGAGCTCCTCAGCTGTACGGAGAGTAACGAGTAAAGGGACCAAGCAGGTCCAACGCCCTGCAAAGTCAAGATGAGGAGGGAGGACGACACACCTTCCCTGTGGGCAGGACAACGATGCGCCCAGGGCCTGGAAGACAGCGGGGCAGGAGAGCCAGTCTTGGGCCGAGTTCTGTTTGCCAACAAAGACCAAAGTGACGACAGTGCAGATTCCAAGGGACAAGGGTGTTCTTAGGGAGGCACCCAGGGGGGAGCGGCCACAGAGGTCCCGAGCTTTGCCAACCTCCTTGTGTGCCAGTCTTCCTCCCCTTGTGCATGATCAGACACAGCCAGAGCCTTGCCTGATGCTCAGAGCTGCCTGCTCATGGCGGGTGTCCTGCCTTCGGGCACCAGGTGCTGGTTCCACAGAAGAAGTCCTCAGGGAGCTCACTCAGGAGTCCATCCAGGTCATCTGCAGGGAGTGGGGGGTGGAGAGGATGAGAAGACTGACACGTCCAAGGTTCTTCCATTTAGGAGGGCCTGGGCCTGGCAGCACAGTAGGGAGGTGGCTCTCCTGAGGCAGTGGTGTCTGGGCCAACAGGCCTAAGGCTGACCTGACCTCCATCTTCCCTCTGTTCCCCACATGCCCCCATTCTGCTGAGAAAAAGGCTCCCCTTGGGCCTCAGTGGTTCCTTTTTTTTTTTTTTTTTTTTTTTAATTTATTGATTGATTTGAGAGAGAGGGGGATAAGGAGAGAAAAAGAGAGTGAAATGCTGATTTGTTGTTTCACTTATTTATGCATCCATTGGTTGGTTCTTGTATACACTCGGACCGGGGACCAAACCCGCAGCTTTGGCAAATCAGGATGACTCTAACCGAGTGACCCAGCCCGGGCTGGTGCCTCTACTTCCACCCAGAGGCACGACGTCTGAACGGAGAGGCTTCCGCGGTCTCCTAGTGCAACCTCTTACTGGACAGAGGGAGGAACGGGCTGGGGAAAGCCATCAGATGTGTTCAGAATCACAGTTCATTCAACTGGCTTCTCTTCTGAGGAGTGGAGACAGCATTATCCCGCCCCCCAAAGCACCTCTGTGGAGGCAGGGAATAAAGGAACTGTTCTTGGCTAGTCCTCAGGCGGGGTGCTTGTGAATGGGAATTTGAAAACTGAGCTGACCTCAATAATCGCTGTTGCTTCTATGATGGTTAGTAAGAGCAGCTAACACTTAGTGCTTGCTCTGTGCCAGGCACAGGGTCCCATATATTACACTTAACACTTCATTCACATCTCACAGCACCTCTTCACAGGGCATCACGTGGTAGTGCCTGTTATAATCCCCGTTACCTGAAAGGACAGGGTTTAGAGAGGTCAAACTGCTCGCTCAGGGTGGGCACCCTTAGGCTCCATCTGATGCCACAGTCACAGCTTTTAACAAACTCCTGCTTCCTGGTCGGGATCAGGCAGCCGTAGGAGTAAGTCAGACTGGAAGCTGCACTGGCAGAGCCCAGCTGCCAGCCTGGCACAGAGCACACGATAGACACTGCTGCTAGAAGGACAGAGTCAGTCTGGGACTTAAACTTTAATTAAGGCGACAGCATTGTTCCTGGAGAAGCAGGACTGGAATTTGATTATAACAAAAAAGCTGCCCCTCACTAGCTACATTATGACTATTTGAAGGAACACTATGTTAAATGAAGAGAAATGAATAGTCAGGAAACTGGGAATCAGAGTAAGAACTAGTATTGTGTCTCTGAGCTTGGCCAGCCACCTCTAGCAGCTGCCTGCTTGGCAGGTCTGCCCTTCAAGTGGAGATGGGATACCAGCTGCCATATTCCACAGACCACCTCCTCACTTCATTCCATGCCCCCAGAAACCTCCTGATGGTGCTTTGGTCTGTCATCAAACTTATTTACAAGGACAGAGTGCAAGTTTCCAGAGAAGTTTCCAGTATAAAGAATACTTTTTCATAGGCTACAAATAAATGGGCTTTGTGTTTTGTCCATTAGTCTACTGTGAATTTGGTGACAGGAATGAACCCTGTCTGTCCCCAGAACTCCTGTGATTCTACTACCCAGAATCCCAGGAGTTCTGGGGACAGACAGGGTTAAATTTATGGAATAAAAAAAGCTAAGGACCAGATCTGGACTGTGCTGGCTTCACTTGGGTGATGCTGCCTCCTAAGGAGCAAGCTGGTCTCCCCTAAGACATCTGTGTTTGAACCTCACAGCTCTGTATCCTGATCCCACCCTAACCCCATGGATGTGTGACTCCTCAGCACTGCCTGGAGAGCCCTACGCTTAGTCAGGATGGGGAAACCTGCCTCTGTGGTCTGACCATCAGCCCACAGAAGACTCAAGGTGGCACAAGGATGGTGCCAGTCCACCTCCTCCTTGTGGCTATCAGTACGTGGCCTGGAAATGGGGGAGAGACCAGAGGATGACACTCTATTTGCTGTATGTGGCCCCCGTCCCACTGTTAATTATTTTGTGGCCTCCAGGTTTGCCAGAGCAGGCACCATATCTGATTTCTGTAAGATTCCATAAGAGCCAAAGATGAACGGGAGGAACAAGATGCAGCCAGAAGCATCTGGCTGAGCAATTCAAGAGGAACAGGAGCATTTCTTCTGCTCCCGGGCAGGCTGGTTGTCTTACCTGCTTCTGGGGGTACTTCTCGTGGGAATGGCCCCGCCTCTGGATTCTGCGCTGGTCTGAGGTCTTTCCCAGGCTCTGCAGGCTCATGCTGGAGGCTGTCAGGAAAGCTACCTGGATCCTGGGGACACAGGATCTGGTTACCAATGCCGGTGCCCCTGAAGCCTCTCCGGTTAGTACTATCTCCACGCCGACAACCTCAAAGGAATAGGTGGGGGCTCGGGAAAGACGGGACGAAGGAGCGAGGCAAGGGCCAGTCACCCGTGCCTATGCTGAGACACCAGACGTCCAAAGCAGCAGATAATTAAAAACACAGAACAGAAACAGAAACCTTTCTGGCCGATTTTCTTTCCTAATTCTATTTTTACCTGATGTTTCGGGGAATCTGTATAACTGGAGCAGAAAATAAGGGGTCATTCAGAAATATGTTGAACAGTTAGCTTGGGATTAAGAATTAGCTGTTAATCCCCAAACTAGCTAATATATGGACAGGTAATTAAAACTTGTAACTAAATCATTAACCATGGTTAGCTCTGGGGAATGGGAGTGGAGAGGTTAAATTTCATGATTTGCTTTATTCTGTACCATGTTAATTTTTTTTTCAATAAGTATGAATGACTCTACATTTAAAAGAAAAATAAGGATTTATTTGAAGTGAGGTGGAAGGTTAAACAGAAAAATGAGGGAAATGGAAGTTGCAAGTTAGAACTACGGGTGTAACTTGACTAGAAGCCACTGATTCTAACACACCCGTTTACAGATGAAGCAACGGCCGGGGAGAAGACCGGACTTGCCAAGGTCACATCACACATTACCAGCAGAGTGGGGACATGGCCCAGGTCTCCTGAGCGCTAGGCCAGGCCACGGCACCGGCCCAGGATCCCAGGGAGGATGGGAGTGGCCACAGAGGAGATGCTGTGTGCCAATCAAGGCCAGGCTCTGTGCTCACACCCTGGAGTAGTGTCTGGAAGCCCAGTCTCCCTCAGTTCCCAAAGGGGTGTCCACACCCGAGTTGTGTGGGTACCCCCACACTTAGCAAAGGGAAGAAGCAGAACAAGTGCTGGCTCACCGGGCAGGCCACTTGCAGCTCACTGTTCTCTGCACGGCCACCTATAGTAGATCTGTTCCTCAGTCACTTACCGAGGGCCACCTCCCCTTTCCGCTCCCCTGCCCGCCCCTGGACCCTCAACTTGTTAGTTCTCAAGTGACTCCGCCTCTCCAATGTTCAATCTGCCATGGCTCTCTCAGGGATCTCTAAAAAGCCAGCTATTCTTCTGGGTCCTGTTACGGTGCCACCTGGCAGGCAGCTGGGCCAGGGCAGGAAGAGATGGTCCTGTCCCCAAAGCCGTCTCTGTAGCTCCCGGGGAGGAAGGGAAGAAGTCAGAAGACCCACGCAGAGAGTGGCTCTATCATCCCCATTGCATCCGCTCTTCTTACCTCGGGGAGGGGCTGAGATGCCCTGAGGAAGTTCCCATCCCCGGAATCTGGGCTATAAATGTGGACCAGGTTGTTGGGCGTCACGTTGAGGTAGTGGTTTCGGAGCGAAGGAGAAAACACGCCAATCTGGAGTCAAGGAAGAGGAAGGTCAGTGCCCTGATGAAGCACCAGAGGCTGCCAGCCAGCCACCGGCCCCACGTGTTCTCCCTCGGTAGTTAGTGTCTGCACCAGGATCACACACCTCCTCCAGCCCCAGCCCTGGGGTCAAAGGAGAACCACCTACCACACCCTCCTCCCCAACAGCACAAACGCCATTCATCCGCCCCCTAAGAATGAGGTTGTGTCTTTACTCAGGTCCAGTAAGCCCGGGTCAGCACCAGCCCAGCAACTCCTCGCTTAGGTCATGGGGGGAGCGGGGGAAGAGAGCCACACAGCCAGTGTGGAGGGCCTCCTCCCAGCAGGAGGGGTGAGAGCCGCTCCCATACCTGCTTCAGCAGCAGCACCGAGCCGGGCTTCAGCTCATTCTGGCGCGTCTCAAGCAGCAACCTATGCACAGTGCCCTGCATCTCTCCTGCAAATGCACGGCCCATCAGTCTCAGGGTCAAGGGCAGCACAGAGACCGGCTGGGCCCTGGCTGGGGAGTGGGTTGCTCACTATTTCAGTTTTCTCATCTACAAATGGAGACACTCCCAGGACCTAACTCCTCACCCGTGGGGTCCTTGAAAACCACACTGGCGTCCATCGTGCTCCGAGTCAGGGACTTGATCATCACGGCCATGCTGGGGACCTTGTTCCTGGGAAGCTGCTTCAGGGCGGCCTGGTTGCAAGGAGAGGCATTTGCTGAGCCAGCCACGTCCCACTTTGTAAGATTCCCAAGGGTGCCAGGGCCAACTGGAGGGTGGCGGGGAGGGGACAGAATACAGGGGTGCTGATGGCCTTCCCTTGTGGAAGGCAGAGCAGCGGTTCAAAGGGCTCCTCTCATCTCCCTCTGGCAGGCTTTCACTGCTCTCCCCGCCTCCTTTCTCATGTCTATGTATGTATGTAGAGCTCTATCATGGTAGGCCAAGGGCAAGGATATGTTAGCACACGTACTAACATGTGTCTGCATGTGACCCTTGATCTCTGGGGAGCAGTGTGCTTACCCTTTCCCCCCAATCCAGGGCCTGCCTGTGCAGAGACATGCTCCTAATGCACTCTCTCCTTCTGCTGGTGCCCAATACTGTGATGAGAGTGGGAAAGTAGGTGAACGAAAGATAACACTAAAGGGACTTCATGCTGCCGTTCAGAAAAAGGCCTGGGGTAAGAGGAGCAAACAGAGCCCCTTTGTGAGGTGGGGCAGGGCAGAGGTCGGTGGAAAAGACAAAATGGTCTTCCTTTCGTGTCTCAGCACCCGGGCCCTCACCTTGCGCAGCACCATGACGATGCTGTGGGTACAGAGGAAGCAGGTGGGGTCTCTCTCATCCAGGCCCAGAGCAGTTTTCATGGCCAGCCAGGGCCCTCGCTGGAAATCCTCTTCCGCTGATGTCTGGGAACTGGGAACAATCTGGCACCACAAAACAGAGGGGCTGCATGAACGGGTCCGCCTGGCTACAGGCCTCCGCTGAGACAGGAGGGAGGAAAGGAAGAGAAAGGCGAGCTCCCTGTGCATGGCGGCCACCATGTCTTCTCTGTGTATCTCCCGGTCAGATAACGGCACGGGAAATATTGCTGTGTATCACAATATCATACTCAGCAGCAATAGCAGAGGCACTCTTCCTTTTCTTTTATATTACATCAGGTCCTGATTTCTTTTTTAAAACATTTTATTGATTTTTTACAGATAGGAAGGGAGAAGGATAGAAAGTTAGAAACATCAATGATGAGAGAGAAACAATGACCAGCTGCCTTCTGCACACCCCCCACTGGGGATGTGCCTGCAACCAAGGTACATGCCCTTGACTGGAATCGAACCTGGGACCTTCTAGTCCGCAGGCCGATGCTCTATCCACTGAGCCAAACCAGTTTTGGCCAGGTCCTGATTTTAATTCATCAAAGCAAAAGGCTGTCCATGCCTGTCTCTTGTATTAGACTTGAAAAGTCTCAGGGCTGCCGAAACCGGTTTGGCTCAGTGGTAGAGCGTCAGTCTGTGGACTGAAAGGTCCCAGGTTCGATTCCGGTCAAGGGCATGTACCTTGGTTGCGGGCACATCCCCAGTGGAGGGTGTGCAAGAGGCAGCTGGTTGATGTTTCTCTCTCATCGACGTTTCTAGCTCTCTATCTCTCTCCCTTCCTCTCTGTAAAGAATCAATAAAATATATTTAAAAAAAAAAAAAAAAGTCTCAGGGCTAGAGAACTCCACATACATTTATAGGCTTGCAGAGCGCCTAGCACATTTTATTTGGGGTGCCTCTGGCTTTAACAATTAGCCTTCGTAATGAAATTCTTTGATTCAGAGAATCAGAGCTGATGCCTCACAGCATCAGCTCTGATTCTCAACTCCTCAAAGTGCAGGGATGCCCTCCTCTTACAGGATGCCCAAGAAGTTAACGTCTGCACAGAATCAGTTACCGCTGTCCGGAATTTAGCCAGAGCGCCATGAGTCGGAGTCTGGGGCGTGGAAACCATGATCTCCTCCAGGTTTTTCCCGCTGTACTACAAGGGGAGAGAGAAGAAGGTGAAAGCAAGCTCAGCAGCTGTTATTTACAAGTGGAGCTTCTTGTCTGGGTTACGTAATGAGTTCAGGAAACTATCAGGGACAATTAACACATATTACATCTCTCCTGGCAGTCTCAGGAGCCTCATCGGCAGCTCAAAAAAGACGCGCTGGGGATCGTTTTGGGGATGCGAGGAAGATGGAGCTGGCCCAGGAGCAAAACCCAGAGCTTCCTGAAGGGGGCGCTGACCTGAATAGAGAGGCCCGTGATCTGCAAAAGGACAGCTTTCCCCAACTCCCTTCTCAGGGACCTAATCCTTCCCTGCAGAGACCCATCCCAGGAGGAATGGATATGGCCTCCTTGGATTTCTCTTAAAGTGCTAGGAAGGAGAAACTAGCAGGTAGAAACTGTTTTAAATGCCTTTCAAATGCCAGGAAAGGAGTGCACCCACCATGACCAGACCAGATGCTCATGGTCTAGGGTCTGATTCAAGACTAGTCTGATGGGTCCTGTCCCCCCACCACTGCTGAAACCCAAATTCTCAGCACAGCCCAGCTTCCCCGAGTGGATCCCTCACGCCTGTCACAATGGACTGTTCCATGGCTTCCCGAGAGCATCTGCTCTCATGCCTCTGGACCTTTGCACATGCTCTTTCTGTCTGTCTTCCCACTGATATGTCCTCCAGAGCCCAGCCTTCTGACACCACTCCCTCCTGCCTCCACCCCGTTAACCTACTGTCCACCCAAAGCCCCTTCAGAAAGCCCAAGGAACCAGTCTCTCTTAGTACCCAGAGAATGCCCTCTGCTCACACTGTGCAGTCTATGTACAATTGTTTGTTTGCATTTCTTTCTTCCCCTAGAACTGTGGTCAGCAAACTGCGGCTCGCGAGCCACATGCGGCTCTTTGGCCCCTTGAGTGTGGCTCTTCCACAAAATACCACGGCCTGTGCGGGTCTATTTTGAAGAAGTGGCATTAGAAGAAGTTTAAGTTTAAAAAAATGTGGCTCTCAAAAGAAACTTCAATCGTTGTGCTGTTGATATCTGGCTCTGTGGACTAAAGAGTTTGCAGACCACTGTGCTAGAAGCAGCTCCTCAGGACAGGAACCATTGCTATCTTAATCTGTATTCTGAGTTCCAAGCAAATTGCCCAACTTAGCAAATATAAGTGAGCGAGTATTCCTTTCTCAGTGCCTGCAAACGGTAGTTACTCAACAAACGTAGGAAAACTGTGAAGTTCTCACCCAGTTGGCATGGCTCAGAGGCCCACCTATTAACCAGGAGGTCATGGCTCAATTCGTGGTCAGGGCATATTCGGGGTTGTGAGCTCAATCCGTGTGGGGCATGCAGGAGGCAATCAATGATTCTCTCTCATCATTGATGTTTCTATCTCTCCCTCTCCCTTCCTCTCAGAAATCAATAAAAATATTTTAAAAAAGAAAACCGTGAAGTTCTCAGAGCCTTATGCATCCCTATCATGTGTGGTTTATCAAGCATTCAATTCTTCCTTCCCACTTCTTTGGGTTCTGCCACAGATTTGCTGTTTCTTTCTTTCTTTCTTCTTCTTCTTCTTCTTCTTTTTTTTTTTTTTAATATATTTTATTGATTTTGTACAGAGAGGAAGGGAGAGAGATAGAGAGTTAGAAACATCGATGAGAGAGAGTCATCGATCAGCTGCCTCTTGCACACCCCCTACTGGGGATGTGCCCGCAACCAAGGTACATGTCCTTGACTGGAATCGAACCCGGGACCTTTCAGTCCCCAAGCCGACGCGCTATCCATTGAGCCAAACCGGTTTCGGCACAGATTTGCTGTTTCTATCTCCCCCTATGTCCTACCTCCCCCGTTCTCCCCCCAGGAGTGAAGACATACTGGGACTGGACAGTGCTGCAACTCTGGTTCTTTCCTTCGCTCTCCTTCCCCCAACATCCTGGGTGGCCCTGACTTCAGCCAGAGAAGCTGTCACTCACCTGGTGAGGCAGGATCCCCGCTGGGCCAGGGAAGCGGCGTGCTTTGGCCCGCGTGGCAGTGCGCGGGGGCTGCTGGGGTGTCCGGTTGGCAGCAGTGACCAGCTGTACCAGGTGGTTGGTCACTATGGGTGTCTGCAGAGCTGCTTGGGGGCCCTTGGGGGTGCTGACAGGAGACTCAATTGAAGACAGTGGAGCTCGGGGTTGTAAGGGTCCCCGAGGGAAAAATCCAGAGCCGGTCCTTGAGAGAGTAGAACAGCTTGAGTTGGGAGTCCGTAGAAAATTAGGTTTGCCACTTAAGTGGGCATTTGGAGATTGGAATGGCTGACGGGGGACACGATGTTGAGGGCTGCTCTGAACAGGCCTCCCAGTGGCTTGGAGAGGCTGGGGTCCTCGGACTGGAGAAGCTTTAGGGCGGACTTCCCAGTGGGTTTGCTGAGCGGGAAGTGTGGAGGCAGTGGGGACACGCAGGTTACCCATGGCACCAGTCCTCAAGTGGGGCTGCGGAGTCCTACAGTCGACCACAGGCTCTGGAGGCTGACCCTGGGCTGATGCGATACCAGTCACGTGGGTGGCCGGCATGGGGCCCTTTTGGCAAGGTCTGCTCAGCTCAGCTACCCGAGCCTTTTTAGTCAATGCTGAGTCTCCCTGCTGCCCGGGGGGCAGGATTCCCGTTGCCTCACTGTTAGCTTCAAGTCCCAGCTCCACGCCGGGCCCCTCCAGCTCCATGCTTGCCAGGACCTCGTCAAACTCATCCTGCTCAGGTCCCTCAAAGCCGCTGATCGCCTGCTGTTTGCTCTCAAAGGGAAGCAGGGGGCGGGCGGCCGAGGACCGCGATCTTGCTGGTTCTCTGAGCACTTCTGTCAGTGGCACTCGTCTCTGATTGCTGGTCCAGCTGCTGGAAGTGGAGACAGGCCTCAGGCGGGCTGTTCCTGTGGCAGCTGGACCCCTGCTGGAGGCAGGAAGGCGGAGTCCCAGGGCCGGTAGGTCCACAGCCTCTGAGGAAGCAGGAGGGCATGATGGCAGCTGCCCAGAAGGCCGTGCCTGCACAGTGTCTGGCCTGGAAGAGACAGATCTGAGGCACCCGGCATTCATAGGCCCTGATGGCTCAGGGCCTATGAATTGGTTCTCTGCATCTTCCACAGCAGACAAGAAATCCTACGAAGAAGCAGATAGTGAGAAATCAAGAAACACTCTGCTTTTACTTTCTCAGGCACATGGTGTATATACATGTGCAGAGACACAAAAGCAAGAAACCAACGCGTCATCTTGCCATGAGCGCCCTACCTCCAGGCTTCTACCAGTAACACTCACAGGCTGAGTCTTCAGTAGCTTTACTCTCTTTAGTCAGTCTTGAGTGGGGGTGGGCAGTGGTGGCAGCTGGGGGAGCAGCAGAGGTAAATATACTTGGGCACCAACAGGTCAAACCAGTCCCCCAAGGCCACAAGGGGTCTAGCTTTCTGCTGTTCAGCCTGAGAAACAGGGATGTGTCCAGCTGGTCACGCTGCTTGTCCTTACCACCCCCCTTCCCCCACCACACACACACACACACACACACACACACACACACACACAGCCTTCAGTAAGCCAGAGAGGCCTCATAGGCAGCAGTTAAATATAGCTTTACAGGCAAGTTAAATTAAGTATGGGTTCCAGTTGGGAAGCAAGGTGAGACTGACATCTTCAAGAGCAACAGACCTGTTCCGAGGGTGTTTTTGAGTCAGAACTGCTGATTTAACTGGCAGGAAGGTCCCCACCGCCCCCGCCCCTTGCTGCCTCACTGTATTGTCTGGGCTAGAGAGAGGTTTTTTCCTGCTTTGTGTATTACCAGGAGAGTAGCATTCTCCAACACCACTACCTTGGGACTTAGCAATAATATTAATAACTTTAGAGTTACTGTAGCAGTAAAATACTGATGACCTCAGGGGTTGTGGATCTCTTTTCTCAGGAAGACCTCTCTTTCAGGTGTGATGTTATCGGGGAAGGGGAAAGGGATCTGGTCATGGATCAGAAACTGGAGTTGTCAGAGTTCTTTACTCTTAATTTCACGACCAGCCTGGCAGTCCTACCATCTCCCAGTAAGACTCAAAAGGGTCAATTTAACAGCCACCTTTTCAGCCTGTGATCACACATCTCTAAAGCGAAAAGACAAAGGATGCAACTTCTTGACAAAGCTGGAAGTTTTTAACTATTTGTAAAAATAACTGTTAAGTCCCCAAGTTGCCGGAACCGGTTTGGCTCAGTGGATAGAGCGTTGGCCTGCGGACTGGAAGGTCCCGGGTTCGATTCTGGTCAAGGGCATGTACATTGGTTGCGGGCACATCCCCGGTGGGGGCTGTGCAGGAGGCAGCTGGTCGATGTTTCTAGCTCTCTATCCTTCTCCCTTCCTCTCTGTAAAAAAAAATCAATAAAATATATTAAAAAAAAAAAAAAGTCCCCAAGTGATAATAAAAACATCTAACATTTGAAACTTCACTAGGTGTCAGGTACCATCTAAATATTTTACCAGAATTTTCTCAATGAATTCTCACATGGGCCCTATGAATAGGTCCTGTTATTATTCCTGGTTTTTGGATGTAGAAACTAAGACTCAGAGGAGTTAAGTTACTTCACAGAACCACAAACTAGAACCTATTTGTGTCCTTGTCACTATGTCTTAGGGCCTCAATGAATGATCTTTTTAATTTATTTTTTTTTTTAAAGAGGGAGAGATAGCAACATGGATTGGTTGCCTCCTGCACACCCCCAACTGGGGATCTAGTCCAAAACCCAGGCTTGTGTCCCAAACAGGAATTGAACAGGTCATCTCTTGGTGCCTGAGAAGGCTCAATCCACTAAGCCACACTAGCCAGCTGAACTGATTTTTATGAGGTTCGACAAAGCTTATTCTCTCCTTCAAACCTCATGTCCCAAAAGCCTCCGAGGAACGAGTGTGGTGTTGTACTGCCAGAAAGGTCCCTGGTGCAGCATTCACTATCCTACTCAGCACAAATTTGGCATCTGGACAAATTCTAAGTGTGATTTTTAAAGCAAAGTGCTGGGACACAAAAAGTAGGTTTGAATGGCTTGTCACCGATCAAACAGAATCATTTTCTTCTATAAACGTAGTTTAGTAACTTCCATGTATGTTAAGACTTGAGTCGGGGCCAAGACCTCATCCTGGCTGTTGGTGCTTTATTCTCAAGCAGGTTAATTTATCTTTTTGGACTTTACTCACTTGAGTCCTACTTGGTGAAAAGGATTTGAAATAGAAATTTTGGGCCTCCCAAATGAAATTATATCCCTTGGATCTTAGTGGGAAAGGTCTATGGAGCCCACTAGTTCAGTAGTCTCTGGCTGTACCTGGAGGGTAGAAATACCTCTGCCTGGGTCCATCCCAGGAAATTCTGATTTAATTGGTGTGTAACAGACCTCGACAGGGGTGATTCTAATGTGCCAGCTTCAGATCTAGTCTAATCCCCCATCTTCTGAGGAGAGAGGGGTGGAAGGAACACGTGAGGCAGAATGCCTCACATGTTGCAGAAGAGAAAATGGAAGGCCAGAGAGTGACACCAGGCCTCCTGCTGTCCAATAGCCGTGCTGTGTCTGGCTCTCCACAAACTTTCTTCCCGCTTCAAGCACGTCATCAAGATGAATCAGCCCTGGCCATTTGACCCAGTGGGTTGGAGTGGTGTCCTGTGCACCGAAGGTGTGCATTGGGTTGGATTCCCAGTCAGGGCACATACTCAAGGTTTCGGGTGCAATTGTCAGTCCAGGAGTGAACAGGAGGCAACTGATTGATGTTTCTCTCTCTCTCTCCCTCTCCCTTCCTCTTCCTCTAAAATCAACAGAAAAGCATGTCCTTTGATGAGGATTGAAAAAAAAAAGAAAGCAAATCAAGTCATCTACAGACACAGCTTCCAGTCAGGGGCCCTTATACTTAAAAGTATGACCATCAGCCGGAACTGGTTTGGCTCAGTGGTTAGAGCGTCGGCCTGTGGTCTGAAGAGTTCCAGGTTCGATTCCGGTTAAGGGCATGTACCTTGGTTGCGGGCACATCCCCGGTTGGGGGTGTGCGGGAGGCGGCTGATGGATGATTCTCTCATAGATGTTTCTATCTCTTTATCCCTCTCCCTCTCTGTAAGAAATCAATAAAATATATAAATAATTTTTTTTAAAAAAGTATGACAAGCAGGGAGCTCATCTCTCTGGCATTTACTTATTTCTAAAACAGTTAAATAAATTGTTTATATTTCTCATTATTCTTCATCTTTCACAGACAAAAATCAATGTATATATCAAGCAAAAAGAGACGGAAGGGTATGAGAGGGAGGGGGGCATTGCTTCAAAATGTTCTGAGCCTGGTGTTTACATCTTTATTTTTTTTTAATCTTTATTGTTGAAAGTATTACATATATCCCTGGGTATTTACATCTGTTCACCAACATTTCCTTACCTCATCTTCAAACTCCTCTTCCACAGCAAATAGCTTCTGCAGACTGCATGCCTGGAAGGAAAACAAAGCAATTGAGGTTGGAGGAGAAACACCATGTACAAGTACATTCTGTTCTCACTCTGCTTCTTCCCAATTCTAATAAGACCATCAGGTGCGCTGTTTTTGGTGTGTCTGTTTTGCTGGTGTTGGGGGAGGAATAAGGGATGAGAAGAGATGGGATTTACTAAAGAGACTTGGATGATTTCAAATCCTCTCTCCATAAAACAACCCACGCGGGTCCCTCTGCGTTAATCTTGGAAGGGGCAGAGGCCAAGGAAAAACTGCCAAAGGAAGCATGGGTCACTCTTTAGACTCGGCGCTGCACACATGGGCATGAGCATTTTGCAACATCCCAAAGGTCTGGCCTGAGCAACCTTTGTCACACAGAAGACACAACCGTGAACCCAAACATGCCAAGCCAGTCGTTTCCTTCTATTCTAATCCCATGTCCAAAGGCCAGGGCCCCAGGAAGGTGGGATGCCCCAGGCCACAGGCCCTTCTTTCTGGGCAGCAGGGCTGCCGTGGCCAGCTCTGAGATGCGTGTCAAACTCAGAGCCAAGGGCTGTGCCTAACCCCAGAGGCTCCAGCAGCAAGAGCTTTAGCTAGGGACTCAGAGCCCAGGGCTGTGCCTGCCCCCAAGTGTCCAAGGACCAGAGTGGACGGGTTGGGGGGAGAGGATCAGGCTCAGGAGGCGTGACATTTGAGCGCATCGATCGGACAGGATGAACAGGAGAGTTCGCCAAGAAGAGATGGAAGGCCACAGGAGGGAAACTGAGGCCCAGGGGGAGAGGAGGGGAGAGAGAGCCTTCCCAGGGTCTCCGGGCGCGTCCACGCCAAACCCAGGCGTCCCGACCCCACCTAACTCTCACCCAACCCTAAACTCGCCCTGCAGCTCCCCCAGGAGAGGGGCTGGAGCCCGAAAGGCAGCTGTTGGGCCCCAGACCCAGACCCAGAGGCCAGGAGCCCGGGGGCACGGCATTACCATGGCGACGGCGGGCGCGCTTCCGCCAGAGGGTGAGCCGGGTAGGCCCCAGTTCAAGGGGTCGCCGGGGCCGCGGACTTGTCCCGGGGCGGGCGGGTCGGAGTCCGGTGACAGTATCTCTGGAGCGAGATCGGAGAGGTCCCTGCGACCCGGGCCGGTGCCGAGACTGGGTCGCCGGGAAGGTGAAGGCCCAGCCCTGAGTCGCATTCGAAGCCGCCGCCACTCCGGCGTCTCCGCCCTCTTAAAGGGGCGGGCCTATTTTTATCCCGCCGACACAAAGGCACTACTTCCGCCAGTCTTCCGCCCCCGCCTTAAAGGGGAACTGACGGGCTCTCGGGCGCCCTCCAGCGGCCACTCGGGCTGGGTCAGCTGGTTCAATAAGTGTTCTGATGAGAGCAAGGTTGGCCATTTGGGCGCCTTATGCCCAACCCTGCCCGTCCTCTTCTACTGTGGTAAGCACACTAGGGAGTGGGTGCTTGAGCGTGATTTATTCACACCAGAAGGCACCCCGTTGGTTTGTCTATTCATCTTTCCATCCGTCTATCTTTGCAAAACATTTAGTAAGTTAAAGATGTTCTCCGTCTGGCTCTTTCCATCCTTCCGTGTTTCAGCGGAGATTTCAGATCTTCCCTATCATCTACTCTCTCACGTAGCATCCCTCCCCAACCCACCCCATCACTATTTTCTTCTCAGCACTTTTCATAGTTCATAAGTATCTTGGTTTACATCTCTGTTATGTGTATTTCTCACTAGCATATGAGGTCCCTGAAGGCAGGGACCTTGTCTGGCTTGTTCAAGTTTGTATCCCCAGCACTTAGCACAATACACAATAGAGTTATTGAATAGCACAATGGCTACTATGTACTGAGCTCCACGCTTGATCCTGGGGATAGAGGAAAGAATGGCTGCTTGTGCCCTCAAGTTCACACACCAGTCAGGGAGACACAGGTCCAAAAGAGTCCAGGAGATTTGTGTAGAGGGATGGACAGGGGCCTAGTGAGCTGAGAAGGCCAGGTTCTGTCACCAAACCTGCTGTGGTTAATGACCCTTACTTGGAACTCAGTTTCTCTTATGCTTGTCATCACAGGGCTAGTCAGAATGACAGGGAGGGCTGCATGGTGTTGAGGATTCAAAAGGCAGAAGGAAGGTCTCTGACTTGAGTTCTTAACCATCTGATCTGAGCCAGTCCTGAATCTTTCCTAGGCTTGTCTCACCTGGCCTCCCCTCTGACAGCCTATGGCTTCTTTCTTTCTTTTTTCATTTTTTTTTATTAAGGTATTATATGTGTACATATCTTACCAATTCCCCCCCCCCATACATGCCCTCCCTCCCCAGAGTTTTGCATCCATTGGCCTACAGCTTCTTTCATAACTTCATGTGGACCAGTTTTCTTGTCACATGTCAGAATGGAGGCCAGGATGGCACTGGGAAAGGGGACCTAAACTCCTGACTTTCATCCAAGTTAGCCATCCTCTCAAGGCCTCTGTGCTTCTGATCTGGGGGACAAAATCCCAACCCTCCCGTTTACAGGCTTCTCTCCTCACAGGAATCCGGCTACCACTCATTCTGCACCACTGCGGGTGGGCCCGGAGGAGGCCCAGTTAGAGGGCTCCCTGTGGCTCTGACCTCCGTCAGCTCAGGTTGACAGGAGATCACAGAACCCCAAAAGCCAAGAGGAATAATGATGGCTCTTATCCACACCATACTCTACAGCTTCCAGTTTTAACCAAGACCTCATTTTGTGTCACAGACATCCTGTACAGAGTGAGGGGCAGGTATTACTTTAAAGATTAGGAAACTGAGGCCCAGAGTGGGAAGGGATTCTCTCAGGATCACACAGCCACTCAGTGGTGTATCTTCTGGTTGGAAATCTTATGCTTTTTCCTCCATCACCTTTCTCAGCTAAATATACTTAGCATCTGTTGCTGCCACTTCCTGTGAGAACCTAGGGGAGGATGGGAGCCAATGGAAAATGTGGACCTAGGGGAGGGCCTGACAAGACCCAATATGGAGGTTGCCTGTGATTTAAAAATTGGTCAGGAAGGGGGGGGCAATGGAAAGATATGTACACATATAATACCTTAACTAAATATATATATATATATGAAATACAAATTGGTCGGATAGTTCAGTTGGTTAGAGCATTGTCCTAATACCAAGGTTTCAGGCTCAGTCCCCAGTCTTCAGGTTCAGTGCCACTGACAGGGCACATACAAGAGGCAACCAATATATGCGTAAATAAGAGGAACAACAAATTGATCTCTATGGCTCCCTCCCTCTCTCATAAATCAGTTAACAAAACCATATAAAAGTATTTTTTAAAAATTCTTCAGCTCTAGCCAGTTTGGCTGAGTGGACAGAGTGTTGGCCCACAGGCTGAAGGGTCTCAGAGTTGGGGCGGGGGAGGGGGGAGAGGGAGGAATGGTATATATACAAAGATAATAATTTAATTAAAATTAAAAAAAATAATAATTAAAAAAAAAGGGTCTCAGATTCGATTCCGGTCAAGGGTACGTACCTCAGTTGCAAGCTCCATCCCTGTCGCAGTCGGGGTATGTGTGGGAGGCAATTACTCGCTGTCTCTCACATTGCTGTTTCTCTCTGTGTGTCTCTCCCCCTCCCTCCCACTCTCTCTAAAAATCAATGGAAAAAATAAAAATTCTTCAATCCCTCCCTGTCACACCAGAAGTGACATATAAGATCCCCAGGGTCTACAATGCCCTGGCATCGTCTTCACTGCCCTAGCTTGCCTTCAACCAGCCTCCCAGTCACTATCAACTCCTCTTCACCCACTTACTTTTCATGCCCGAGGCCCCAGGCTGCCTCCGCTAAAAAGCCTTCCTTAAGTGCTCCGGGCAGACCCAGGTGTCCTTCTCCTTGAAGGACGTGCAGGAGGGAGCTGATCAATGATTCTCTCTCATCATTGATGTTTCTTTCTCTCTCTCTCTCTCTCCCTTCCCCCTCCCCCGTTCCACTTTGAAATTAAAAAAAAATTAATGCATTGAAATGGCCAACTCCATAGCTCATTGGCAAGGGCTCAGCCATGTGGGATCCTTTCCCCCCGGCTTGAGTGTGCAAACATGTGCTGAGACTCGTTATGGGAACCACATGCTTTGAGTTTCTCTATTTCGGCATACTTGCCATTGCATTTTGTCCTAAGTTGGACTTTTATCATATGCACAGTTGTATGCCAGTCCATGTGCGGATGGAAAGTGGCATTCACCGGTGTGGTTGTACACGCGCTGAGGGTCTTGCATGGCTGTGTTGGTGGGGGATGCATGTTGAGCGCGTGTGTAACATGCGTGTGGAATAAAATGTGTGCTGTGTGCTGCCTTTGAGGGTGGGGATCTGAGTGTATGGAGCTGGGGAAGGGCTGGTGGCTCTGTGTGTACGAAAGCTGCGTAGACCAGCGCGCGGGGTAGAACTCTCTGTGTTTATGGAAATATTTTCTGTTTGCGGTGATCCATAGAGCAGCCAGTAGCCACATGTAACTACTGGTCTCTGGAAACGTGGCTAGAGCAACGGGAGAACCAAGTTTTAATTGTATTTAATTTTAATTAATTTGAATGGAAATCGTTCCAGGTAAGACTCCAGACAGAAACCTCCAACGTGTTCTGCACAGGCCCGTGGTGTGCATCCTCCTTCCCCTTCGCAGGGAAACCCAGCTAACACGTCCCGACCCCGCAGATCTGTGGGCCCCCGGAGCCCGCCCGCGGACGCACGTGTGCGCGCGTGGGATGCACAGAGGGGCCCCTCCGCCCCCCTCCCTCCTCCCCAGTCCCCAGGCGAGCAGTGAATCAGCCTGACAATGAAGTGAGTCATTCATGAACTGCTCCCGCGACCCGGCAGGCGGGAAGCAAACGTCAGCGAGCCGCCCGGCCCTCCCCTCAGCCCCCGGCGGCATCGCTCAGCCCCACGCACTGCAGATGTGGAGGAAATTGAGCGAGCGAATCCAGGCCCCAGAGCTCAGCCCCTCAGCCCCTCCCTCTGCTGTGCAATCCATTCACCGCCCAGCCCCTGTCTCCCCTCCGTGGCTGTGAGTCATCTCAGGATCTGCACCCCCCAATGCAGCCCCCGCCGCCCTCAGCATCCCCGAGCTGGTCTCCCTCCAAGGCCGCGGGTGGGAGGTGGGGCGGGAGGACAGGCGGGGAGGCTGAGCCCCGTGGGGTGCCGTGCTGGGTCTTTGGGAGCCAGGCTGACCTGCTCAGGGCTGCGGTGTGGGCGGGGCTGGGGCTGGGGCTGGTGCAGCTGGTGATCTTCGGAGCTGGCACCCAGCTTGCTTGGAGGAGCATCAAGACAAACACGGGGGCAGCGGGGAAGGAGTCGCTGGAGCTGCTGCCTGGAGCACCTGTGGCTGGTGGTGAGGAGGGGATGTAGAGAGGGCAGGAATAATCCTGTGTGTGTATTTTTTCAGGGAAGTCCCACACTGTGTCTCCCCAGGACCTGATAATCTTCAGAGCCGGTAGGGTCTCTTCTCTTCACTCCTTCACCGGCTCCCCACAACCTGTATCCCACTACTCCCCATCCATCAGCCTTCTTTTTTCTTTCTTTTTTTTTTTTTTTTTTATATATTTTATTGATTTTTCACAGAGAGGAAGAGAGAGGGATAGAGAGTTAGAAACATCGATGAGAGAGAATCATCGACCAGCTGCCTCTTGCACACCCCCTACTGGGGATGTGCCCGCAACCAAGGCACATGCCCTTGACCGGAATCGAACCTGGGACCTTCTAATCCGCAGGCCGACGCTCTATCCACTGAACAAAACCAGTCCCGGCCATCAGCCTTCTTCTCTCGGACTGAGCCTTCGTTGAGGATTCTGACTTGGACATTTGGGTCCCCTGGTGGTGTCCCTTACAGGGTCAGAAAAAGGTCGTCACCAGCCCCGGCTGGCTGGCTCAGTTGTTGGGTGTCCTCCCCATGGTCCGTGATTTCAGGTTCCAACCCTGGTCAGGGCGCATACAAGAATCAACCAATGAATGCAGACATAAGTGGAACAACAAAT